AGAGTTTTTCGATATCGAAAAAATGTTTTTTTTCTTCAGAGATCCTGGAGCTAACCCAGTGTTATCTCTCTCTCACTCACCAAGAATCAAAACAATCAATTACAACAAGAATTCGTAACAATATCGCATGCACTCTTGAGCTTCTTTTCTTCGGATCATATCTCTTCTCTGACTTGTAGATAAGACTAAGGAGACTTATGATATATTGGTAATTATAAAACAGTTCTTCTTTAATTCATAGACAATATCAACTTTTTAAAAAATTTCTTTGGGCCATTGACATGTTTTACCATTTTTAGAGTGTAATTATTTTTTTTCTAATGAAAACTAGTTAAACGTTAAGCAGCACCAACGATAGCAACTCATTTAGATTTGGAATAGGCGTAGAAACTCTTTAAAAACTTGCTAAATCCATTGATAGCAACACACCACATGGTACATTAGAAATGTGCAGCTTGACACTTTTGCACTCTAACACTAGCAATCATAGACCCAAGCCCAAGCCTCCTTCTTCTCCACCAAATCTCATCATTTCTAACTGAAAACTTAAAGCCGCAACCATGACTTCCTACCCCTTTCATATTTGACATGTCAAATCTCCCTAATATCACCGTCAATGGTGAATCTGCCTATGAAGATTATCAAATGCATGATGGGAGACAAATTTTTTGCTCGAGTTAGCCCACAATAAAAAACCACTAATGACTTAGTTCAAACCTTCTTTTGAAAGTTTAAAAAAAAAATAACTTTCTTTTGATATGGCAAATAAAAAAGGTTTATCATAAGCTTTGTTTATTACAAAATAGATCAACGATTATGTAAAAGTGACTGAGATTCTCACAGTTTCATCCAAAACAAGAAGATCAAGACTCAATAACTTGCTCCCTCTGCGTCTGTTGTGCGTTTCTAATTGACGAATCAGATGAAAAATGAATTCTAGTTTTGTCTGATAATTTTTAAAGATTTATAGGCAAAACGAATTTTTTCGTAGAGACGCAACCCTTAAAATAACCATAAAGCGGTTATTTTGAAAAGACGCAACTTTTGACTAAACGGCTACACTGAAAAAATGCAACTCTTGACAAAAAAAATAACCATAAAGCGGTTATTTAGAAAAGACGCAACTCTTGACAAAACAGTTATATCGAAAAAATGCAACTTTTAGAGATTACCACAAAATAGTATTTTATGAAAAAACACAACCCATAAATATTCATTTTTTAAGATTGTTATTATAAAAATTTTCATAAAATTTGTATTGTCTATAGAATCCAAAATTCTTTACACAAGTCAAGAATTTTTTAGAACTTCTG